CAGTCCACTGTGAGTGGCACCATTCCCTACATGCTGAGTAACCATGCATATGTTCATTCTCTTTCTGATCTTGACTATGGATGTGACTAGCTACTTCAATTTCCCATTTCTTTATCTTCCCTACAATGATGGACTGTAACCAGGAATGGTAAGCTGAATAACCCTTTCTTTCCATAAACATCCCTTTCTTGGGGTATTTTGTCACAGCAACAAAAATAAAACCAAGACAGGTTGTGCAGCAGAGATGTAATGGAAGGTTAACTACTGACAATGCATGGAAGTTAAGTCACTGCTAAAGAAATTTTTTTCTTGCAGCTAGGTTACGGAACAGTAATGTTTACTGGGCACAGGGAACCTGCTCTCAAGACTCTTCCTCCTCTTGGTTTGAGTTGTCCAGCCTCAATATGAAGGCTTGTGCCTTGTGTTATTGTATCTGGTTTTGTCCTGTTTGGTTGTGTTCTCTTGGAGGCCTGCTCTTTTTTGAAGAGGAAACTGAAGAGGAGTTGATTAGGGGAGAAGGGCTGTTGGGGGAGCTGGGAGGACTGAAGGGAAGGTAAACTGTGGTCAGGATGTATTGCATGAGAGAAGAATCTATTTTTAATAAATTTTTTTAAATGTGTAGGATTTGCTTATGAAGCTCAACAATGTCCAGCATGGCATGATAACACAAAGAGAACAATAGTGGCATTAATTCCTTGGCAATAACCAACAGCTCTCTGATTGGACTTGAGACCCCTCCAAAAGAGAGAAACCGTGCCTCATATTGGAAACCTATCTAACAACCCAGGGCTAGTGATGTCATACATCTGGGAGGAAAAACTACAACCAAAACTCCACTAAACCATCATAATCCCTAACTACACTCTCATCTTATATCCACAGGTAGGTGTAGTTCTCACAACTTATCAACGAAAGTTCTCAATGAAATAGACACTGACCATTAAAGAATCCACACCAACTAAAAAGCAGAGTTGTGGAGCACAGTTCCAATGGACACATTGACATCATAAAACTTAGACCTAATGCTCAGGGAACATTGTGGAAGAAGGCCATAAATATTGTATGAGCCAGAGGAACAGGGAGTTTGCTGTGAGGTTATGTCTCCTAGTGATGTCAGAAGTTATACCCTTAAAGTCTCACCAACAAGACCACCTGAACATGAGCTGAACAGGTACAAAACAAGAGACATGCCAAAGTGCATCAGGGAAAGATCATGAGATTTTAGCTCTGAACAAAGTACGACAGGAACTAATGAATACTGAGAGTAGAAATGTCTTCTCCAGTGAAGAGTTCACCAATTGGTTATCCAAGATGAAATTGCCAGCCATGAAACTATACACACAAGGAACTTCATACAGACTGGGCAGGTTATATTCAGGTATTTAGGTGAATCTGAAATGATCAAGGGGAGTATATGGGAGGGTTTGGAGGGGAACAGGAAAGGGAAAATGATGGAACTATATTATAATCTCAATTTTTAAATTACTTTAAAGGAGTGTGTTTGAAGGACAGAGATCTAAAGGAGTCGTTTCCAGCCCCCACTCTGAAGGGGATGCCCGTCCAGGAGCAGCAGAGGCAGTAGAAGCAACATCAGGCAGCTCATCCCCAGTGTCTGGTCACCACCTCTACCTCACTGTCAGACAATCCAGGCAGGAGTTAGTTTAAGGTCAACAGAGTTCACGGTCACTAACAGAAAGGAAACAAGAATCATAAAAGGCACACTCACAGGTTAGCAGACAGAAACGTTTTGAAAGAAACTCAAGAATCCTGAAAAGGAATGAAATTCAAAAAGTTTCCAAAATGCTACAGTGCCTGTTAAAATACTTAGATAAGAATCTTTAAGAAGCTCTGGGGTGTGACTTTTTCTTTCCTTGGGCACATCACTATTTTTCTGTTTTTGCTACATTCATTCATCCACTCACTGACTTATTTCTTGTGTGTGTACCTGCTTGTGTGTGAATGTGCACATGCCATGGTGAGTGTGTGAAGGTCAGGAGAGAACTTGTGGGAGATCCTTCCCTCCTTTCACCATGTGAGTCCCAGGATCAATCCAAGGTCAGGGTTGACAGCAAGACTCTACCCCTGACCTGTCTCGGCCAACCACCATTTATTTTTAAGAAACTACAACTCAGCTTGATACTGTCTCATTCTGAAGTCCTTTCTGCATCAAAACCATGGGCCTGGTTTCACATTAGTTGAACCCCTAAAAGATGAAGAGAACTCCTCTGCCTGGTGTGGGGACAACATGGAGCTGTAGCTTGAGTTTTCCTGCCTGGCCCACAGTCAGGACAAATCTCTGACACCTGCCAGTCCCACAGCCGTTCAGACCCAACCAAGTAAACACAGAGATTTATATTGGTTACAAACTGTATGGCTGTGGCAGGCTTCTTGCTAACTGTTCTTACAGCTTAAATTAATCCATTTCTATAAATCTATACCTTGCCACATGGCTTGTGGCTTACCGGTACTTTACATCTTCCTTGTCCCGATGGCGGCTGGCAGTGTCTCTCTCACCCAGCTTCCTGTTCTCTCAATTCTCCTCTCTGTTAGTCCCGCCTATACTTCCTGCCTGGCTACTGACCAATCAGTGATTTATTCATTGACCAATCAGCAACACATTTGACATACAGACCATCCCACAGCACTTCCCCTTTTCTTTTCTTAAAAAGGAAGGTTTTAACCTTTACACATCTCCAAAGTCAGCTTGGTATATTTGGGAATTTGGGTGTAGCTTCTCTTACTACTTCCTGCTGGAGGGGGGCGCTGTATCTTATGGGGACATAAAGAATATTTTAGGGTTATGGAGTAGTCCATGAGGGTGTATCGTCTGAGCCATGGATCAGCGTTGGATCATCTGGGCCATGGTGTCATCAGAGACCTTTCAGGTGGTCTTGGCTGGTCAAACCTGATGTGTCTTAATCTGGAACAAATCCATAGCCTCTGGCTTTCTGTGGGAACAAAAGCAGAGCCTCCTTTCCAAAGCAACATATCCTTACATCCAAATTTTGAAGTCAAGGTACCTTTAAAATATACATTTTGGCATAACTCAACAGCTTTTGTAATCAAATGTTTTTCTTTAGTTACGAATATCAAAGAGAACATAATCCAGATTCTCTGTGTGGTAGCCATCTTTACGTGACTTATTTTTTTGTATTAGCTTGAGCCTATTGCTTTGAACTGTAGCCTTCTAAGTCTGAAACGGCACTGGCGCTGCTGGCTCCACCCACTTCAGCTTTCCAAAATGGCGGTGATATGTTTTCCGCCAGCTCTGGGAGCCATCAATTCTCAGAAATAGTGGGTCTATGCTTTTATCAAAGTAGCGTGTAGCCCAGAAACCTCTTTTTTTTGTTTTGTTTTGTACTAGCAAAGGCTAAATCTACCACACAGCTTAATGTGCCACTTGCAGAGGTCTCATTCCCACCATACTGCAGGTCGAGCATGCATGGTAGGAACCTGCCATAGTAGCTCAAACACGCAGGCTGCCGCTAGCTTAAAAGAGACAACTAGGAGCTGTTTTTAGCTCTGTTTTAGAATCTTTTTACTCAGGTTTTTAGGTGGAAACTCTTGCCACCACGTTGGATGCCATTTGTAGCTTGAGTTTTCCTGCCTGGCCCACAGTCAGGACAAATCTCTGACACCCACCAGTCCCACAGCCATTCAGACCCAACCAAGTAAACACAGAGACTTATATTGATTACAAACTGTATGGCCGTGGCAGGCTTCTTGCTAACTGTTCTTACAGCTTAAATTAATCCATTTTCATTAATCTATACCTTGCCACATGGCTCATGGCTTACCGGCATCTTCACATGTGGCTTGTCATCATGGCAGCTGGCAGTGTCTCTCTGACTCAGCCTTCCACTTCCCAGCTCTATTCTCCTCCTTGTCCCGCCTATACTTCCTGCCTGGCCACTGACCAATCAGTGATTTATTCATTGACCAATCAGCAACACATTTGACATACAGACCATCCCACAGCATGGAGCTCTATCAGTTTCTATATTCTGGGTTATTCTCAATGCAAGGAATAAACAAATGTAAATGGATGATTCAGTGCCAAGTGTCAGTCCCTAGAAATTCCATGAATGAGGACATTGGCCAAATAAGGTAACAAATCCTAGGGACAGTTAAGATTAGGTTTCAGGGAGAGTGAGGAAAGTCCTTCCTGATCTTCACTATAGGTCCAGGAGACATAACAAATGAGGCCTATTTTGTAAGTTTAAAACTTTTCATTTTAATGTGTTGGCAGGGAGGGTGTGCATATATGTGTATGACATTTGCATGTGTCTGGACAGTGGTATTTGGAGGGACAGGTGCATATGGAGGCCTGAGATTGATATTGGGAATCATCTTTGACTGCTCTTATACTTTATTCCCTGAGGCAGGGTCTGTCAATCAGACCGAGAACTCACCCAGATGGCCAATCTTTCTAGGCATCATGCTCTAGGGATCCACTGTCTCTACTTCCCAAGGCTGCATTTTTACACAGTCATCTGCACTCACACAAAAGACATTAAAATAAGCATGAAAGACAATAGGAATAATTATATGTATAGGGATGTGTAAAACCTTTACCGTTACCCAGTTATTAGTGGATAGGCATCTTGGCTTCTTCCATTTCCTGGCTATCGTGAGTCCAGAAGCAATGAACAAGGATGCTAGATACCTCCGTATTAGGACACAGAGACCTTTGTGTAGATCCCAGGAGTACTATACCTGGATGGGATGTTTTTGTTAAAGTCATCAAGAGATTGGTCCTGCTAAGAATGGACCAATGCTTTCGACTCTGGGCTTCTAAACATCCTCATCTCCCTGAAATCCCTGGAGCTGGTCCATTTCATCCTCTGTTGATCCTCAGCCTCCTTCCTGTAGCTCATCTGGTGACAATCTCCACTTCTCCTTTTCTCTTCCTGGTTGAGAATAGGTTAGAGGAGTGTGGAAAGGGAGTGGCAAAGGCAAACCGGGCTCCAATTTCTGCACACTGTTGGAGAGCAAGGACCATGGGCGACTCCAAGGAAGAGAGGGAGAATCGTCTGTGCTCCCCGGGTGAGGCTGAGCTAGGACACAGGGAGCTCAGGGCAGAGTCAGGAGGGCAGCTCGGGTCTCAGCCTGCTCAGGCTCTGACAGATGATACAACTGTTCAGTGACGGAGCTTGTGATCTGCAGCACCAGCCATTTCTAAGAAGCCTTGGACTACAGCCTCCTCATGGCTTCAAGAGTTTCTGAAGTAGACAAGGGTTTGCGAGGTACTCAGCATAGGACAGAACCAGGAGTCTTCAGTACTGGGACAGGGAGACTGGCTTGTGGATCCCTGGGTCCTGGGATGAATGGGATTGTGGGTCTATATCCTTTTGTCTGGGGAATGGAGGATGTGAAGTTGGAAAGCTGGGTCCTGAGGAGATGAACCCTTGAGGACTTGACTCCTGGACACTGGAGAGGAGGAGGCTGGGGTCTAGAGTCCTGAGTCCTAAGAACATTGATTCTGAAAACCTGGAATCCTGAGGCCTGTCAAGGGAGAGCTGATGGTCTAGAATCTTCTGTCCCAAAGAAGTGAGGGCTGAAGGATGTATTCCTGGATCCTACAGAGGAGGAGGTTGAATATTTCATTCCTGGGTCTTAGAGAGGTGAAGGGTGAGTCTGACCTTCTGTGTCTTGGGGAATCAGTGTCTAGGAAGAGGAGCCCTGTTTAGGTGAGGTGCATACTGGGAAACAGGAATCCCCAATCCTGTGGTGTAAAGGAGGATGCTGAATGCCCCATCATAAGAAGTAGAGCTGGGGTCTGAAGTTCTGCTCCTGTGAAAGTGGCATCTGGGAACTGATCTTGTGGTTCATGGAGTGGTGGGCCTGAGGATCTTTGTTATTGGTGCCAGAGTTTGAAATGGGATGATTGAAATGCAGGGTCCTGGGATAGCTGAGGCTGAAAACAGACTTCTGATGCTCATGTGGCAGATGATGGACAGGAAAACCCAGGCAGTGGGAGAATGCTGACTGAGCGTCTGTAATCCTGTGTTCAGGAAGGGAAAGAGGGGCTAGGCTCTCCCTGGTTCAGGGTGTGGCAGGGACAAGGGTCTGCAGGACCACTTGACTTTCTTTCCTCAGGGTGTCAGGACTGTCATCAGTCAATCATGATATTGCAGCTCATCTCCCTGGTGCTCTTCTCTGCTCTCCTCGTGGTTGTCCTTGCCAAAGGTCAGGAAACTTCAAGGTTGGGGCTTCTTGGGAAAGGAATCTGAGGCTGTGTGAGGTGGGCAAGCATGGGCAAAGGCATGCTGGGGGTGTGGCAGAATGTGAGAAGCCATGGACCTGTGTCACGTCCTGTGTCCTGACAGCGTTGAGACTAACAGGGTGTGAGACTCAGTGTTCTGGCCTGTGAAATGGGCTCCTAGGGTCACTGTGACCACCAACAGTGAACTTTTGGGTCCAGCTCTGTACCTGGCACACAGTTGGTGCTTAATTGTTGTAAACCTCTTCTTGTAGTTGCTGTTCCTCAAACGCAGACACACAGCTTGGAGCAGATCCAGCAGCAGCTGACTCAGATCAATGTCTCGCTGGGTGAGGCTCCAGGGCCTGATTAGGAGGGAGCTCAGGGGTCATCAGAGGTGTTGGCATCTGCCTTCTGGGCTTCCACTGATGCAGGCAGGATAGAGCACAGGGATTGTGGTCCAGGTTTTGGGAGCGCTGTGTTGGTAGCTGAAATAGAAGCCTAGCCCTGGGCTCTAAGGCTCAAGACAGAGGGGAGAAGAGAACCCAGGCCCTGAGCTCATGTGTCCCCACTGCACTGTTCACTCTGCAGCTGGCCTGTGCCGGCCCTGCCCCTGGGACTGGGAGCTCTTCCAGGGAAGCTGCTACCTCTTCTCCCAGACTCAGGGCAGCTGGGAAGCCTCAGCCTCCTCCTGCCAGGACCTTGGAGCCCACCTGGTGATTATCAACAGTGTTGAAGAGCAGGTGAGTGGGGCCACATCAATCCTACCACTTTGTCCTAGGCATTGGATTTCAGATGGGAGGCTGAGGGACATGAAGGAGATGCAGTCAGAGGGGGCTTCCTATAGGAAGAGGCACAATGGAGTGGGGAGGTCCTGTAGGGGAAGAACACACGAGAGGTGGGTTAGGTGTGAAGGGAGTTGGAGGAGCTTTGAAACATCGTGTGACCCTCTTGGGACATACCTCTGAACTGAGATGTAAGTGAACATATTCCACACGTGTGCACTTTGACCTGCACCCATGGCATGCATTCACTAGCCAGTCCACACAACTTGACTAAGAGTACTAAGCTTGGGAGCAGAAAAGCTTGTATGGGAGGCAGGGAAGAGTGGGTTATGGATGGATGAGGGCATCACAGACCTTTCTCTCGACTGCTGCATCCATTCAGAGATTCATGAAATACTGGAATGTGAGGAAGAACCAACGCTCCTGGATTGGCCTCAGTGACCTTAGACGTGAAGATTCCTGGCAGTGGGTGGATGGCACCCCTCTTCAGCTCAGGTGAGCTCTCAGAATCCATGACTCAGAGAGTAGCTGACAGGGAGATGACCCTCACTCTAAACACAGCCTGCACTGTTGAAAACACTCAGAGAGCATAATAACTACAGCCCCATGTCACCTCGGCATTCTCACCCCCCAGCTTAAGTCCAAAATCCAGAGTCCTCATTTTTGCTTTGCTGGGCTGATTCTCGTGGTGGTGAGGTTAGAGCCCACATTTTCCTAAAGCTGTTCCATGCACTCTTACTGCCTGGCTGGTTCTTAGAGGTCTTTTACCATGGAAGACTCTGTCCATGTCTTCTTTGCTGGTTATGGGGTGGGTCCTGGGTGTGATGGCTGTCTCTGATGACTGATGATGTTTGCAGCTTTTGGAAAGAAGGGGAGCCCAACAATGATGGGGATGAGGACTGTGTGGAGCTGTTCACAGATGACTGGAATGATAATAAATGCACCGAGCAAAACTTCTGGGTGTGTGAGCAGCCCTCGGTTCCCTGCCCTCATCACTGACGGTCTGTGCTTCCCCTGGGAGTGCAGGCAACTCGGGCGCACTCTGCTCTAGTTCCAGCCACCTTGTTCATCCCCAGTGTCCTTAGGGATCCAGAGAGTCCCTGAGACACCCTCCCCTGAAGCTCTTCCCTCTTCTTCTATGGATGATCTTAGTTGCTCTTCTCTGCCCATGAACCCCTCAGTGTGTCTGGGATGTTCCTCATGACATGCAGTGTGCTGATCATGAGTGGGTCTCTGAGTTCCATCCCCAGCACTAGAATAAAGAATGAACAAAAATTCACACGTGGTCTGATGTGTTCCATTCAGTAGATTATCTATTTCTGGACACTGTCTTTACTAATAAAGCTTTGAAATGTTTGATATTAACTAGGATATTAGTGTCTACATTATCTTTTGGTTGTGAAGCACTCTTCTCTCTTTCTTTCTTTCTTTTTTTTTTTGTGACAAGTCTCATGTACCTCTGGCTGGCCTTGAACTCAAAATGTAGATCAGGTTAACCTTGAACTCATAACTCATAGAGATCTACCTGCCTCTGCCTCCTGAGCACTGGGGTTAAAAGCATGCAGCACCACACCTGGAGGAATCAGGTTTTTTTGAGTTTGTATTGGGAATATACACCCACTGAGTGCATTCATAGTCATTCATAGTCACATGGTCTCTTTCTCTTGGAGCCTCTGTCCCTCCTGCCACTGCAGGCCAGGGGAAGGAGGAAGAGCTCCACATAGCACCTTTGCCCCTGTCCTTCAGGAAAGCTGTCTCCAGAGTCTGCTGTCACCCCAGCCAGGAAGGCTCCTTTCCCTGCTGATGCCAAAGGCTCAGCACCCTCTAGTGTCTTGAAACCTCAGGGAGCTTTTAGCAGCTCTGAGGAAAATTCTCTGTTAGTCCTCTGGGTGGCGCCCGACATCATGGAAAGCGTTGTTGTGTTTGCTCTGCTGCCTCTGACCTCAGGGATGCCTGGCTTCCCTCACTGTCCTCAGGACCAAAGAGAGTGCCTGTCCCTGGGACAACAACCTCCCTGGTCAGGGACCACTCCTCCTCTCTGCACTTGCTATGTGGTCTGTGCACCTCCCACCTCCCTGGTTCCCTGCATGGATTCCTCTATTTCCTACCTGGGTATGAGCCTTTAATATACTCACTGGACTATCTTTAATTTTGACTTAAATGCTTTACTTTTGATTACTGTTGTGGCAGTGGGTTCTTATGAGCCTTTTCTTTCTGACCAGCCTCATGTGGCCTGGCACTTGCTATGTCGTTTAGGATGGCCTTGAACTCCTGATCTCCCTGCCTCCATAATTCATATGGACAGACCTCCTACCTGCCTTGTTTTTTCCTTCCTTCCTTGCTTCCTTTTATTACTGGTGTGTGTGTGTGTGTGTGTGTGTGTGTGTGTGTGTGTGTGTGTGTGTGTGTGTGTTTCAGGTGCTTCATGAATTCCAGCTAAGCACTCTACCATAGAACCACGTTCCTGGCCCTGGTGTGAAATTTCATCCTGTCATTTATTTTGAATTAATTAATTTACAATTTCACACATATTCTAGGCATGCTGACCACTCTCACCCACCACCTACCACCCCACCTACCCTCCATACTCCCCACAAATCTCTATTTTTTTTTTAACTTACATGCTGGGAGATTGAAATCTGAACCTTGTACATGCTAGTCAATCACTCTACCCCTGAGCTACATCCTGTACCTACCTTTTTTTTAAAAAGTTAATTCTTAAGAAAGCAAAACAAACAAAACCCCACAGTTCCTGGGGTATGTTGGTCCTAAGCTCCCCCACCTGTCATTGCAGCAGCATTGGCTAGCTTAGGAGGAGGCCTTCTCCTTGCAGTGGACTGTGATGTAGGCACAGCTAAGGTTGCTTCTGTTTTGTCTTGAAGGGGACTGTTTGTTTCCTTCTAGCTCTTCTCTCCTTCTTTTTCCTTTTATCCTCCCCAGGATCCATGGCTTTTGAAGATGTCTCCTTTAATCATGCTTTAGTTCCGTTTCTGCTGTTACAACATTCTCAAGTAGAAGACACAGAACAAAGCACCTCTGCTTACCAGGAACTTCCCCTGCCTCACAAGAGCAACAGTTAATCCAGTCCCTCAGGATAGTTGCTTATGAAACTGAGGGAGAAATCTGAATACAGCTGACTGAACCCACACCACCACATGTTGCTCTGGTTGGCCCTGAAATGGCTATGTGGCTATTGGACTCCTTCAACTCTTGATCCTCCTGTCTCTACCTCCTGAGTCCTGGGATTAATAATGTGCATCATCACATCTAGTTTATGGGGTGCTGGGGATGGAACTCAGGGCTTTGTGCCTGCCACATGAGCACTACCCCAACCCAGTCACATCCCCCACCCAGTTACTTGCTTTAACATTGAGTTTTGAAAATCACCAGTTTAGAGATATGACAGGAGGTGATGAAGCTTTTTTTTTTTTAGGTAGAGCTCATAATATTTAAAAAAAAATCCCAATTAATAGTTATTTATTTTTATTTCATGTGTATTGGTGTTTTTGCCTGCGTGTTTGTCTGTATGAGGATGTCAGATCCCCTGGAACTAGAGTTATAGACAGTTGTGAGCTGCCCTGTGGGTGCTGGGAATTGAACATGGGTCCTCTGGAAGAGCAACCACTGAGCCATCTCCACTGCCCAAATTCCATTTTTTAACAAAGAGATTTGTTTTAATGTTAAGTTTGTGTATGAGTGTATGCTGCATGTCCTGTGGAGTTCAGAAGAGGAAGCTGGGTCCCCTAGAACTGGCGTTATAGGACACTGTAAAATCTCCTACAAACAGAACTGGGGCCATCTTGAAGGGCAATAGTTGCTCATAAATACTGAGCCATCTCTCCAGCTCCACTCATTCCTGATTCCTTTCTCACTACATACATTTCCTGAAGTTCTGTCCTGAGCACATGTCTTAGTTAGGGGTTCTATTGTTATGATAAAGACCATGATGAACAGCAATGTAGGGAAGAAATGGTTCAATCTATCTTACACTTCCAAGTGACAGTCAGGGCAGGAACTCAAGCAGGGCAGAAACCTCGAGGCAGAAACTGATGCAGAGGCCACAGAGGGGTGCTGCTTATTTGTTGCCAAATAATTGTTTACACTGTGAAGATGTGTCTTTGCCAAGGCTCCTTCTGATTGGTTTAATAAAGAGCTGAATGGCCAATAGCTAGGCAGGAAAAGGTTAGATGGGACAGAGAGGACTCTGGGAAGAAAAAGGTGGAGATGTGAGGAGATACAGAACAAGCAGGATGTGCAGGAGGAGAGGTGAACACCTCGAGCATGTGGCAGAACATAGATGAATAGTAATGGGTTAGTTTAACTGTTGGGACTTTCTTCTCTCTTTCCACCACGTAAGTTCAAGGGACTGAACTCATGTCGGGCTCAGTGGTGAGTTCTGTTCCCCACTGAGCCATCTCACCAGCTTGAGCTCAGTTTTCGTGGAGACTTTTAGATCTACTTTAGGCTTCTTTGCTGGATTACCTTTAAACAAGTTCTGCTGACTTTGGGGAAGGAGAATCTATGATTTGATATTGTCCTTTAGAGTCCTTTCCTTTTTTGACTGTGCTTTTAATTGAAATTGAAATAGATTTATGTAGTATGAATCTTAAAAGTTCTTATTAATAAAATCAAACCCGGGACCAGTTATTGGGGTGAAATGCTGGATGGTCAGAGAGACAGAACAAGCCACAGCTAACCTCATCTGGCCAACTTCTCAGCTGGTCTTGTTTCCTCAGACTGGAAGCTTCTGTGTCCTCATCCCAATGGCTCTCAGCTGAACTGTGCTCGAAAGCCTAAAAGCTTAACCAGTCAAATGCTTAACCAGGCCAAATGCTGCTAGTTTCTGGTCCTCACGCCTTATATACCTTTCTGCTTTCTACCACCACTCCCTGGGATTAAAGCTTGCTTTCTGGGATTAAAGGCATGAGTCAGAATTCTTGGCTGTATCCTTGAACAGATAGATTTCTGCCTCTGGAATGCTAGGATTAAAGGTGTGTGCTACCACTGCCTATCCTAAGTATCTAGTGGCTTTTCTGTTCTCTGACCCCAGATAAGTTTATTAGGGTACACAATATTTTGGGGAACACAATACCACCACAGATTTACACTACTCCCCTCTCTCTTTCCTCCCTCCAGCCCCCCAGCTATCCCCCCTCCCCCAAGTGCATAATTCATAACAACAAACAACTCCATGAGAACCTGGGTGCAGCAGCACCTATAACCACTGGGCTGGGGAGGGCCTGGGACTTGCTGGTCAAACAGCCCAGCTGGAACAGTGAACTCCAAGTTCATTCAGAGACCCATCTCAAAAACTAAGGTAGACAGCCATAGAAGAAAATACTCCTTGTCAGCTCCTGGCCTCCACATGCATGCATGCACACACATGCACATATGTGAGCATAGATACATGCATATACTTCCCACACACATAAAATCTCCTGGTGAGGGTGCTGGTGTCTTAATCACTTAACACTTGGCTTCTTGTCTCTCAAACATTACTTCCTAAAACCCCACCATGAGCTTCAGTCACACGATGTTTCAAAGCTCCTTCAACTCCCTTCACACCTAACCCACCTCTCGTGTGTTCTTCCCCTACAGGACCTCCCCACTCCATTGTGCCTCTTCCTATAGGAAGCCCCCTCTGACTGCATCTCCTTCATGTTCCTCAGCCTCCCATCTGAAATCCAATGCCTAGGACAAAGTGGTAGGATTGATGTGGCCCCACTCACCTGCTCTTCAACACTGTTGATAATCACCAGGTGGGCTCCAAGGTCCTGGCAGGAGGAGGCTGAGGCTTCCCAGCTGCCCTGAGTCTGGGAGAAGAGGTAGCAGCTTCCCTGGAAGAGCTCCCAGTCCCAGGGGCAGGGCTGGCACAGGCCAGCTGCAGAGTGGAGTTTATCTTTGCCTTGGCAAAAATAGCCATTTGGGCAAGAAACTGTTCTTGCCTGGACTGCTTGATTGAATGGACATGCAGGACCCATGGGAAGGTGACCACTGAA